CCTGCAATATGTAATCAATGGTCAGATGGTTAAACGACACTGCACTGAAAACTTGTATGAAGTCTGCAAACCAAAACCAAGAAACGAAGCGTGTACCGTGTTTACTTGTGTCATAGACGTCCTGCTTCTGAACAAAGCCCAGGCTTCCACTTTTCAGCAGATACATTCGATCGTCAAGTTGTACACGAGAAACGTAACAAAAATGTGATCGAGAAAACGATCATCTGGGGAAATGCGATCTGAGCAGAAACATTTTCCTTTTGTGTGTGAGGACGTTATACCTGTACGATAAGTAAATAGCGATGATTGTCTGTTCTGCGCTTTTAATGTGACTGTACAGCATGTATGCTTAAACAGCGCATTTATCAATGGAGTGAGTACGATTTGTGTATGCCACATGCATATATTTTTTTGAAGGTTAAGTTGTATAATGCATGAATTGATTTTTAAAACTTGTTAATTGTCCGTCTCTTCTGCGTGATTAATAACGTATTCGAATGAAATAATGAGACAATTTGTGGTTACTTGATCAATGACGTACCAAGTGAGCCACAAGTGTATTTTAAAATGAAACTTTATTGCGATAGCTTGCAATGAGCAATTTTGATGCAATCGATTTTGTGTTATTAATTAAAAATGGCTTTTCAAAAGCCTTGAAGTGCATTCTTCGGTTCAGTTTTCTCAAACGAAAAGTTACTCTTTGCTGCAAAGAAGGCGGGGGGGGGGGGGGGAGATGAAATGTAAAGATTACGAATTGATCAAAGCACACTCACTCAAAATGTGTTGCCGAATGGGCAGCTAGCACGCGTTGAAGGGTCACTGTATTAAGAAGGAATAATTGTGTTTTTTTTTTTTCTCTTAAAAAAACGCACCAATTCTGTACGATCAACGAAGCCAACAGACAGAGCAAACCTGAACGTCAATACATTTTGAATTAAGTGTATTAACGCCATTTCAAAATTAGTATTTTGCGCCTATGATTCAAAAGCACGAAGCGAAAAGCTGAGCTAAGTCGCCGTTCCTTCCTTTCTTTCTGTCTCGTTCTCGCTCGCTAATTGTAATATTTAATCGCAAGGGTCGAGCGAAGGAACTGAAAGATAGATAACATAGTTTCCGCAGCCTCTCTTAGAGCGAATACCAGTTAGGGAAAAAAAAATGGGATTGGGATAAGAGGAAAAATCAGTATCATGGCAATTTGAAATTAACATTTTTTCTGTTCTTTGAGAATATTAGTGACATGAATACTTTTACGCGAGCACACTTGTTCGACAATAAATATTCACGTAGTCTCGTAAAAGAGATTTTGTGTGCGTGAATTTCGTTTTAAGTTATTGCGTAGGTCTATTACGTAGTTGCAAAAAGGGTGAAATGCGTGGATAATAACAGTTTTTAGTAGCTTTTCGTTAATAGGTTATTCGAAAACTTCATTAATTCTTGGAGCAATGTGATAATTTTACTGTTTAATACCTCTCTATAATGGTGCTACCAAATGTTTGGAAATAAATCAAATACGTTTAGTTTATCTCGCAATCATCTGAGGTGGACCACAGAGAAAAGCGGACCTTGGAATAGTGTTCCCTCAATTTTAGTGTATTTAAACTGAGCACTTATTTGGACCGTTTGACAAGGCTCTATCACACCGGAGAGACGTCCGATTAAAAGTTCATTACAACTCATATTTTCACACTTTTTGATTGCATGTGTTCAATTCTCTAGTTTACTTAAAATTTTGGAAACCTCAAAGGAACCTCTGGGGCACTTTTTTGCAGTCTATATTGCTCGTAAAGTTTGCGCGATTGTAAAGACTTACCTTAACAGTGAACAATTAATGGTCAGAATGCGCCTTCTCAATAAACATGGTTGCGTACTGGGTTACAGGAATAACTATTGGAAAACATTCTGCCTATTTCTAACGTTACAACAGCTCTTCGGTAATATTGAGGTGGCGCATTTTGCCTACAGCCGTGAAAATAAATTCTCAGTATTTCTACCGGCGGTCGCCTCTTATTGGCTACCTGTGACCACGTGACAACTGCCGGTAAACTATTGATTATCGTTATTCTCCCGGCAAGAATACTGTGGCTGCAAACAGTTTTCAAATTAAGTACAATAAGGATTGAAGGAAAGGTACTCAGGCATTGCCGTGAGTATAAACCATAGAAACAAAACACACCGTGACACACACACAAGCTGCTGCTTAAGAGAGTTGAAAATGTGGTTGTGCTACTTATAATGCTTGCTCTTCACGTGAGGTATTTACGTGAGAAGCAATAACACCGCAGTAGACACGCAAATTCATAAACACGGCGCTAAAGGCAAGCGCGACAACGAATGCACTATAGACAAAATGCACCTGATGGAACTCCAATAATTTTTGTCGGCTTTGTTGCTGCACACGTAGGTACTTTCTCTTACCGTGGATACAATATTATAGTAATTATTGTTAGTTTTAAGGTTTGGGCATCCTGCATGCTATCCTTCCAATGTAGTTCTTGACGCTTCAATTGTTCCTTTTCAGATCCAGGGATCCATTTCAGAATGAAATGATGGAGCCTCCGGCAACGGTGACTATTAATGGTAATGACTTAAAGAGGTGACGGGATATAACAAAACAAAATATTCTACTGGCTGTCACGTGGGTACATATGGCCAATTGGAGGCGACTGTAGGGAGATATTGTGACTTGCTGTTGCCAGCACCGTAATTTCTTTTAAATTACTGATTGGGTCGTTCGGCGTTACTATACTTAACTCCGGATGTTTCACAGTGCATTTTCAGTTTCAAAATACCGTTTCAGTTTGATATTTTATCCGAGTGTTCCAGGGCAAAAAGCAGCCACCGAATAGCCCAAGAAACATGCTTTTTGTATAAGACTAATCAAAATATTAAGCACCGAAGAAAATCACCCATCTGCGGTATTCTCTTATCTTGAACTCGTTCTTACATATCACCTTCTTCGAAAAGCACAGCGAAAAACCCCAAATGCGTACCTGACCTATCCCCGTCTCCTTCCGTGCTATAGGCTACAGGCGAGTTTCACAGCGTGTTTTTGAAGCTGCTTTCAAGGCTTCGTCTTTAGGCCGCCAGAAGCTGTGTATATTTGATTCGCTCGAGAAAGCTGGCCAGCGAACCTGCCGCCAAAGCTTTCTATTATAAACGCTTGGTGCCTTCGGTTTCGCTGGAGTCCCCAAAGTCACCGAACGTCAATAGAGGCATACGCGAAGACAGCGTCGTAAACCAGCAACAGCCACGCCATCTTAAGAATGCCGTCTGCAACCAACGCGGCAAAGCCAGCTGAAGCCCATGCAAAGCTTCCAAATAGACCGCACTTATACGCGCGGTTACGTCTCGCTTCGGTCCACTCTGCTCTAAGAAAATTGATTATAATGTCGTGCTTGAGCGTGCACCAAGTGTAGTCGAAGCCGCCAATGGTTCAACAGGCCACCACTTTCCACTATCAGCGTCTATCATTGCGGCGCGTTCGACTTTGGCTAGCGTTGAGGCATTCGCTTTAAGGCTGAACTGCACGTAAGCGATTCAACATTCTCGCTGGTCGCGTCCCTCGCTTTCTGGATTTTTAGGAAACGCACGCACATCATTTGGCCGCCTGCTCCAGCCGCTTTCATTGGGCTTGCTTCGTCGCGCGAATGACCGAGCGTCAGCGAAGAGGGTCGCCTTCGCTTGTCTTGTCGCTGGCCAAATAGATTACTTCCGGCTTATACTTTAGCAGACGACATTCGGGAGATGGCGTCTCCCGTTGTTTGGTTTAGACTATGGCGCCTGGAGCGCGTCTTCGACTGATGTGTTTAGCGTCCTATGCTGCCCATACACCAAAAGTGGTCCAGAAGTGGGAACAAATGACGTCACAAAAGCGGAAATGTCATGCGGTTGCATGTCGCGATCGTGGCAGTTGGTCGTAGAATTGCTAAAAAAAGCTGCGAGTAGCACGAGCGAACGCCAGTGACGCTGTCGTCACGGCGTCTCAATTTCTGGCTGCCGAATCTTCTGTGGACTGCCACACTGAAGAGAGCGACCTGCAGGAGAGCAGGCGTCTGGCACATCGACCAGCGCTCTTGGGACGCCGCCAGGACCGCGACCGGCGACAGCATGACACTTTTATGACGTCCTACGCGGAAATCAAGGAACTACTTTTTTGGACGAGGTGCACACAACAGTCGGGGACACGCTCCAGGCACCATAGTTTAGGCGCTGTGTTAGCGAGATCGTCTATAAAAAAGACGCTTCTTTGCTATGGTCACGCTGACCAAAGCAGACGGACTTTATTGCGCTGAAGAAGACGATTGGATAGTGAGACCAGGTGCGTATTTTGGATTTTCAATGTGCTTTTTAATAGGCGAAACGTCAACAAAAAAAATTTAAGCAAGAAGGAATTAATCTAGACGACTGATGTTATTTAGTACCTAGTATATTGAGAAGACTTAGATTAGAATTATGTTTTTAGTTCTCAATTTGGACGAATGTTTTAGTACTGTAACATTAAGCCATACTGCCGATGTGTCATAAATTAAATAAATGGAATTGACATGAAAAAGGGCAATTAGAAGTTCACGATCTCCCTTCGGCAGTCTCGGAAATGTGTAGACACATAATTAATAACATAGACATGATTACATAAATAGGAACAAGAGTGTGTTGACCAAATATAAATAAAATAAAATAAAATAAAATCAAGACGAAAGTCTTTTCGCTCGTTTTTTGTTGTCATCTAATTGTAGCCACAGAACAAAGGATAAACACACGTGTTTCTTTATTCTTTTTTTTTTTTGTAGAAATGAATATTAAAAGGGAGCCCCGCCCTATTCGAAACTGGTGCGCGTGCTCGTTTTCTTTTCGCATTGTGTGTATATCTCGGGATGGTCAGATGGCTCGTTAACATTTTTTTTCAAAGTTTACCATTTTAGAGCTATAATATAAAGGAAAACATTTCAAAATAAACGATATGTGCTGGCATGTGTTTTTCTCGATGATATATACCTGAGTTAGTCGGAGCTGGTGTATAATTCTTTCTTTATATCCACAGTTTCTGTCGGATTACGAGGAACACAGATTCCATTATGGCACTCTCCCACTGTGAGCTTCAAGTCACCAGACTCTGTATCTTCCTGAGATGCCTAGGTTAAAAGTTAAAAGAAACATACACGTGAGAGCTATTCATTCGATGAAACTCAGAAACGCTGGCTATGAGGTGTCAACTCTGAGAAATAATTTCAGGCAGAACTTTGAATGTGAACTATGGGCCAAGTATTTCTCGTTTCCAAGGCTGATATGTAAGAAAAATAAAAAAAAAAGTTGCTACTAGAGATTTACTTGAGGTTCAAATAAAACTACAGTTTCGTTACTGGCAGCTGACGAAACGTAGCGCATGGCGAGTCCAAGCATGTTCTCAGTACGCAGCAAGTGACATGGTGGTACCAATGCGTTGAAGTAGATCGTTTTCACTTTCCGCTTCGAGGCTGGGCAAGTGTGCATGCTCAACCGGCTACGCTGGAACTCAGAGAGGACGCGCATGCGCTGTGTAGTGGCGATTCCGCCACTCCATAGAGCTGACCGGGCGCGTTAAAGCGGTCTACCGAAAACTCGCTATTAACTGATAAGAAGACTCGGAAATAAATCGCGAAGCGGAAAAGGTGAAGATATTAAGCACTGCCCTGTGTCTCTTAAGCTCCAAGTGACTAGAGTCTGTTGCAACATAAGAGCTACAGGAGATGCCCAGAAGAAGAACAATCGCACCACTTAATGAAAGTTAACTCGTGCTTTAGGAAGAAATTTATTTATACAGACGCCAACTAATCTTTAGAAAATATATTAGACGTTGTCGAATGCACCTTCACCTCTGTGACGTCAGAAAATCTGTGATTTTGTGCTGAGCGACATTACAAGATTAGCTCAGTTGTGGAATTCTCGCGGAGGGGGAACCCCACTCACCTCCTTCCCTCCACGTCCCGTCGTTTGAAGCGACATCTAGATTTCTCGTTTCAAAACTGAATATTTTATATAGTGCTTTAATCGCCGCTTAGACACTGTGCTTTAAATCATACGTATTTCATAGAGTGCTTTGCAGTTACTATATCAGCCGCGCTCAAAACGGTGGCGCGTCGAACGGCGGGAGGCGAGCTCCGGGAGGAGAGGGGGTGTACTGTTTGTGGAAGCAGCGTCTATGGTCTAGTCGTGTAACTGAGCTGATCCAGTAACGTTGGTGCTGAGTCCTGTAGTGACGTCAATCCTATCTCGAAATGACGTGGTAGACACTTTCCTGCAGTTCTGATGTCTCAACATATTAGATTCGATGATAGCGTAAGAAACGCAGGTCGTGGCCAGTCTTCAAAATTTTATCCTCACTGCACAGCCTATGAGACGGCGACATTAGACTTTAAGAACACCAAATGAGGAATCTCAAATCTGTAGGTAAGGACAACTTAAAAAAAACACACTGCGTGACCTTCAGATTTCTTGCTTTATGATTCATTCTTGAGTGTTTTTATCGACTAATTCCGCAATCTTAATGGCTGTGTATGCTGCTCGGGAGTTGTCACTCCTTGCGTTTCTCATCATTTCAATGTCTACAGAAGCATTGCCATAATAAGCAACATCCTGCGTATCTTAGTCTCTCAGTGGCTATGTAAGCTACTATAGAGGTTGCTACTTCCAGGAATTTATCAAAACGTGAGCACTACTTTCCCCGTTGAAGAATATTTACTATTCTTACGATTGCAAAAATATGCAGTGGCTCTACATACACCGGAAAAATAAATATCAGGCTCAAAAGTTGGGCTCGAAAGATACAAAATGTCCTAAAAAAACGTCCTTTTTTTGCTTTATTGCAAAAATAAACTATATATCGCCGAACGCTCACTCTCCGCCCAAATGTAGAGCTAGCGATATGAACCAGATGCCGAAGTTTAAGAAGTAACCGTTGTTATTTTAGTCAGAAGTTTAAGCGATTTTCGATATTTTCAATGTTAAAATGGTGCTCGATTTTATTGAGCTGAATGGCGCCAGTTACCCAAAATGGGCAAAACGGATCCCCTTTTTCATTTAAATAAGTTAAAAAAGTCACTTGCAACTTTTGCATGAGCTAACGGTTAGTTAATTGGCATCTGGTTTGACCGCTAGAGCTGAATTTAGTCGTAGTGTGAGAGATTCGGCGTTGCGTAGTTTATTTTACGATGAAAAAACACTCATTTTTTTCCTTTGAAAAGGAGGGAGGGAAGGGGGGGGGGGGGCGGCACCTGTATGTATTGTAGCCTCTGAAAAAATGGAACAGTAGGCCGTGCCTTTCGAACGCACAATCTCCAATCAGCTTTCCTTTCGAACGCACGATCAGCTTGCACGTGCACGAGGTGCGCGATACATGCAACGTCGTTGATGGTAGGAATCTCACGTTAAAGGTTTTTCCCCGCCGTTCTAACTTAATCAGTGACTACACCTTACGGCTCCACTAAAGAATTTGCGTTGCAACGTTCAAACAGTTACCATTTTTTTTTTTTTTTTTTTGCTGCTGGAGGCGGGAGAATAAAATTCATATTCTCGTCTAAGACGTTACAACTTCCCCACCAGAGGACCCGAAAAGAAGAAAGCAATGGCCAACAATACAACGAATAACAAACACACTTCTCAAAACTAACATTGTCATTGTTTCCAAGATTTCTAAACTCAGTGAGTTCGAAAGCCACGCCATATTTAAGAAGAATCGTCTTTTAAATTAATAACTCCTCTCTTCATTAATACATTGATGTGAATATTTTGCATTAAAAGTTCCTCTTTTTATTTATCTAATCACTAATAAAAATATAATTGTTTTATTTTTGTACATTACAGTTTATAATCATTTCTGGATCATCAGCTATGGTCCTCATATCAATAACACTAGGCTGAACACTGTTTCTTTCTCAGAAAGTAAATTACGCGTCAATCTTATTGAAGTCGTGACACGAACTAGCTTAGTATCCAGATAATTTATTTATAACACTGAACTCATTCATGTACACGCAGTTCATGCCACGTGCCTTAATTAAGTCCGGGCTTTAAATATATTTTTTTTAATTAGACGCTTACCATCAGAATGTAGATACAATATAATGTTTTAAAGTTTTTCGCACACTGAACATGTCTAGGCGAAGTAATATGGCGATAATGTTCGGTGAGACGGAGGATGACCATTTACTGCATTGTGCACTTTAAACAACCGGAGGAAGTAGGTATGAAACCACGCTTTTACTGCTAGGTTTTTCATTTTCAAAATCGCGACATTTTTAATGTCGTTCACTAGCAGAACACTCGAATTGATAAATGTTCAAGGAAATTAGTTACTATAAAAAGTTTTACATACAATGCACTGTGTGCAATCCGGTCGTATCGTTTGATTCAACTGAGCTTCACAGGTCGTGCACTCCATGGAAAGTAAATACTGAAAGTAAAAAAATCACGAACACGTCAACTAGTAATTATGATAACATTTTTAAGAATTCGCAACATGCTAAGGTAGGGGAGAAAAACCAAACACCGACGTAAAGTTTAGTTTTTTTTTAACTCGACAATTAACTGAATTGGCAAATTAATTAATAAACCCTAATAAATTTTCACCTCTAATTTCTTCCCCGATTGATCAGTCAAGACTGCACCATTTTATGAGGCAGTGATGTGTGTCATCTTGGTCACTTTCAAGCTCAACAACAGGGACTTAAGAAGAGGTGAGTCTTCTTCGCCTCCGGGGTTCCATATTCTATGCTTCAACGTCCAAATGAACCCTATATGTTTCATGCACCTCTGTGCCACGTGAAAAAGTGTTTAGCAGATCACTAACTAAATAGCTTCATTAAAGCAGCCGGAAAATTCTAAACCGAATCAAATTGCAACTAAACTAATTTTATCTCTATGTCTTTTAAAAATTTGTTCATTAAAACCGTGGGGAACGATGACTAGTATAACTAATTTTTACTTCATGTAAATATTGTATCAAAAACTTTGTTTGGTGTCTTACAGGTTTTAACCTTTTATACAGCGCTTACTTGATGACTTGTCCAAGCCTGTAAAAAGTTTATGTTTTTTTTCCACTCCTTTGCCCTTTTATAAGCTCCTCGAATTTGACGCTATGTCAAACAGGCCAAAATATAAAATTGGTTAGCTTCATTTGAACGTAGATACGGTTTTTGCAACGCTAAGACAATATAGGGTGTTTCCACGTCAGATCGCCGAATGATTGTGCGGGTCATATTTCTTATGCTTATATAAAATATATGTTAAAGCAATGTTCTTGGGAAGAGCATTCAGCTATATGCGAACGCTATAGCTAATTTTATTCCTGAGATATAAAAGTACGAAGCTAGAGGCGTGAAGGTTGCCAAGGTTTTGCTATGGTTTTCTGCACAACCGTCAATTTCACACCGACGGATGCAAAAAGTAATTCTTTTTGTCCTTATTTTATGAAAGGTTTATTACATGATGAGTTTGACGAGCGTGTTTGGGTTTTTACAACATGTGCACAACAGTAATAAAATTAAAATTAAAAAAATTGCGTGCAAAAGAAATCTGCGAAACACGCCGAAAACACGTTTTAGAGCAGCGCGACTTTTGATTGGTCTAGTTGGTTCATACTTGACATTAATAAAATAGCGTAAACTGTACCATGGCGAAAAGGCACTTCTTACGACAGGACTCACGCTGCAAGGTCGTTGAGGATACGACAGTTTAAGACACATTAACAAATTATTTACCAACAAGTTATAGTAAATAACATGGCGGAAAATGTATAAAATAAAAATCTTCAAATGCCCTTTACGAAAAAAAAAAGGCGAGCCATTATTGTAGTTGTGTTGTTAATGTAGAAACACAGCTGATTTCTGTAAATGTGCCAAAATTGCAAACGAATATTAATAAACGGATTAAAATTTTTATTTATTTTAAACCTTCTTTAATCATCTGCAGTGTATTGAACTAGTGATGACAAAATATTGAGTAGTTTATGACCTCCAAAAGAGGTAAACGTAAACAAACTTTCGCTCAAATTGAGCTAGCTTGAATTGAACCAACAGAGACTGTAAAGTGATGCTGCTCAATCGCAGGGTGTAGCTTAGCTTAGCTTTATACTTGTGTTTCCTTGCGTTGCCTCCTAAGACACTCTCCCCCTCTTTCCTTTTTGGAAATACGTCCAAATCGGGTGTTTTTTTTCAGAACGCCTTAAGCAGCATGAAAACACCGAGTGTTATTTTTTATTCGAACCAGTCTTTAAAAAAGGAGTTTTTACTGCTACGTCAATGCCGTCTTCACTATATGTTTCTTAAGCTCAGCGAACATTCAATGGGTGAAGGACCGGCACGGTCTGGTGAGTAATTAACTAAAATTCGTTAATGAACTTTTTAATTAGTGAAAAAAGATATAGTTTCAATCAAAAACTAGGTGAGCGCTATTTAAAACCACTAAATCAGTAATTTTTAGACAGACTTTGAGCGCGTGAGAAGCGCAGTAGTGCACTTACATACCACTTGTGCAGCAGGTACAAAGCTACCGGTGCGCTAAGGATCCCGCGCGTTTTGCACATATCTTATCATAGGTCAGTATTGAGGTAAGTATTGGATTGCACATGTCTTCAAGCTGACATAGAACATGTTTCAAATTGGTGCTTCAAAAACCAATTGTCTTTTAATGCCGAGAAAACTTAACATATTCTACTATCTAGAAAGTGTGAATTCATTTCTTTTTCTCACAACCTCGAAGGCGCCTTGATACCCCGAGTATTTTTTCTGTAAGGGATCTCGGTGTCCGTATTGACAGTTCACTTTTTTTTAAAGAGCACGTGTCTATAACTGTTAATGCTGCGTTAAGAGTGTTAGGCATTATTTATCGGATATGTCGGCGGTTCTCATCACCTTCTTGTTTGTTGCATTTGTTTAAGTCACGAGTTAGATCACGGTTAGACTTTGGCTCGGTAATCTGGAATTCATTATCTCTTGGTCAGGCAACAGAAATCGAAAATGTACAAAAGCGCGTGATAAGAATTGGGTGACCCCTATATTGGAGCGAGGCCTTTTTATCATTATAAAACGCTACTTCACTGCTTTGCATTATAGAAATTGGCCATGAAAAGGCAGTCCAGAGATTTTGTTTCTCTTCATAAAGTTGTTCATGGTAACGTCAGGTCAATGGATTTACTACGATCCATTGACTTCCATGTTCCATCAAGGGCCAGCCAGAATGTATTAACGTCTTATCCATCTTGCATGTCCCCTGTATCCCCTTTGTCAAGGATTCAATTGACCCTCAATAAGGAACATCACCTGGATATTTTTACGTGTCTTCGGGAATTTACCTTGCTTGTTCGTGAATGGGTGTCTTTCGCCTAGATATCTTATGAGATTTTATGTGGTATTTGCATTTAGTATTTTAGTATTCGCGGTATTTGTATTTTAGTATTTTAGTGGAACACAGTGGAGACTGAAAAGTTCTTTGTGGGCACAGAAAATAAAAAAAAATAATATTATTATTATAGCCCCAGCCTTGTACCTATTGTATGAGCGTTAACTTCAGAGCTCTACTGCGCATCTCACGCGCGCAAAGCATTTCTGAAAATGACGGATCTAGTGGTTTTAAATGACGCTCAGCAAGTTTTGAATTCGAATCCCTAATACATTTAAAAAAATTTTAGTATAAATGTAATCAATAACCTAAATACGTCAAGCACTGTTCTCTTTTCCAAAATTTACCCTTTAGCACGGACCAGTACTACACCTACCTTTTTCTGTGCGATGCGTACATTTCACAATAACTATTTTGCCCGCGCTTCGTGAGCCACCTTATATGTGTACCGGTATATAGCTGGGCGCTCCTCCAAAGAAAATGCCTTTCATAAGGTATATATTTTACAGAAATATACAGTATATGACCCTGACCATCATTTTATGAACAAACATAGAATCGCCCAGCAACGAAACCGTTGTAGTTATCAACTTCTATATCTGCATTCCACTGTAGGGTACGCAATGATGGCTTGTTTGTCGTTACACAATGTTGAACACCAAGATATCATCGACTTTCCAGAGACTACTTTCCTAGCATTGCTCTCGCGGTGATAGACCTTCCTTGTGTGCGGGCTTTGCGTTTCACGATAAGGGGTTGCACGTACAGTTCTCAACTGTCGACAGCAATGGCGTTCGCCAAGAGGCCTTTATAAGCAAAAGTATAAAAGGATGGTCTTATGCGGCAACGCGATGAATCACAAACATAAAGCTAAGCTAGTGACAGCGCCACTTTCTATACCCTTCGATAGAGCAGCACCGCTGTACAGTCCTTGTTTGTTATAGAAAATGGCTCTTTGGAGCCGACATTGCAGCAAAGCCCATAAACAAAGACATGCTTGTTAGCTCAATATGAGTGAAGGTTTATTTTTTTTTCTTTTGGAAATAATTTGTTGCTGAATTTTTTGCCATCAGAAGTCAGTTATAGACACTGCAGACAATTAAGAAGAGTTTAAGATAAATTAAATTTGGGTTGTTTTAAATATTGACGGGCAATTTTGCACCATTTAGAAAAACGAGCTATGTTTCTGCATTAATATAACTAGAACAATAATGGCTAAGCAAATATTTTTTTATAAATTTGTGATGTACCCTTAAAGTCATTTTAATACATTTTGCGTTTCTTTATACGAACTAGTTTGTTGGTAAATTATTCGTGAATGTGGTTATAAAACTTGTTTACTTGACGTGTTTTGTTACTTTTTTGCATGTAAATCTTTAAGTTTAATTGTTAATATTCTGTGTACGTGCCATAAACTGTTTATAACATAAATAAAAACAATTTACTACGGCATGGTTCGGTGTGAAAATGATGCACTATAGTGATACCTTGACATTCCATTCCTAGTCCCTTCTTCTATTGGTCCTTGTGTTCGTTTGCGGTGTTTTAATTATATGTTTACAATGCACCACCGACTAGCCCACTTCCAAACATTACAACCCCTCGAGCTGCGGAATGTGACATCTTCAGAGGAAACTCAACCACGGCGTTCATATATGGCTGAATGTTCCTCACATGAGCATGACACACATATAAAAAATGTGACCCGGGCCAGCATCGTACCATATGACGTTGAAACATCCTATTGTAATAGTGGCTTAAACCTTTACTAAAAGAGTACCTTGGCTGGCCTCATATCAGTTTTTTACTCCTTCGGGAGGTAGCGTGTATACACATTTTTCTTAGAAATGGTCCGTTCCACAAGCCAATAAAATGCTTTCAAGGTGATCTGTTTCTTTTAATCAAGAATATTTTTAGCGCTGCCGGCAAATAAATCCAGCCTCTATAGATTATTTATATATTATAACGTCAAACACTCCTGTGAACTGTATTTCTGCCTCTAACCTTGTCATCACAATTTTGTGGACATTTTGCTTTTAATCAGGTTAGATTAAAATTTATATTTGGCTATTGTCGAGCCTCATTCTACCGCAGATCACGGCACCCCTCACCACCGCCGACATCGGGTGCCTTGTCGCCCCATGCCAATTCTTCACGGGGACATGGGACGTCCTGGATTAGCAGGGCTCCTCCGTTTCCATGGTACACCCATCTGGCATCGGACCAGCACTCCCGGCCGTTCACCACTAACAGACCTGACCGCGAAAATCCCGGATCCCTTCGGGGGACTCACTGTGAGATGGTGCCCCTATCGAGCACCCTTCGACCCACAATGACTTGGAGCGGTGGTTTCTCTACCCGATCTGTGGGGTCCCTAGAATCCATTGAACGACACAGAGAGCGTGTTGCCTATACCGTGTACAACAGTCGGTCGTCAGCGGTTGCCAGGACGCAGTTCTGCAACGAAGCAGCCACTGTCGAGGAGAACCCCGCACACGGGTTACGGACGTCCATATTTTGCGCCCCATTCTTTTCGGCCTCCCGACACTGAACCATATAGTCATGGAGACCGACGATGACGGGGATGACCGCAGCCTTTAACTTTAGACGCTTTTGCAGTTTACGAACATGAACTGCTGCTTGTGTCCCAAGCGACTTCCGGTCACTTTTACTTCCGGTCAAGTTACTTTTAAAAACTAATTAGCTACAGTTACAGATAGTTTGTCAAAATATATTTAAGTTACAGTTGCAGTTCATTAAGTATAAAAGTAACGCGTTACAGTTAAAGTTATTCTGTATAGAGACTAAGCTACTTTAAAGAATCTTTCCTTCTTTTTTTTAATATAGTTATGAAGACGTTGAGAAGAACACACAATGACTACGGTTTATATTTATTACCTTTTTTTCTTTCTCTTAAGGGCTCTCTTATCCCCTTTTATCAGCTTACAGGAGAGGGAGATATGGATGAAAAGACGGATCCATAAAAATAATAGTGAGGGGAGCAGAGGTCTAAGCCCTTTGGAACTGAATAAAGTGGGAAATACCTTGATGGTGTGCTGCGCTGCGTAGTTACGCGGAAAAAACACTGGAGAGAATGAAGTTAAAGCAGAAGGACATACAAAACATGCATGAATTGGCGCAGACTAACTGTTTAATTTCTTTCTCTTTTTTCTTCCCCCGACCCCTATTGCCGATATTGCGGCTTAGAAAACGAATGGTTGATGTCTTGAATTTGTTGGTTTCTGAACTTGACGGTGTTTGCCGTAGCTGCCTCTTTAATATATGAACTGGATGGTGTGTTTTCGTAGCGTTTACCTGGGGCCTGATGTTTGCTCCGACATGTTTGGTATCTTATTGAGTAGATCTATTTCTTCTTGTCGCAAAGCTAGTGATGGCTCACTGACGCACGCTCCGTGTCTACCCGAGGCCATGTGAAAGGCCTCGATTATTTCACGCTTAGTTCTGTCCTTTGATCTGGCCAAGATGGAAGTACTGTCAAGGAGAGCTTTGCAGTTGCATTGTGAGCAATGGGCTGCAAGGTTGCCAGGTGCTTGTAGTTGTTCGCATGCATGGTTGTGCTCCCTTAGTCTCTCGATAAGGCATCTCCCAGTCTGCCCGACGTAGGATCTTCCACACGACAGTGGTATTTTGTATACCACAACATCGACACATTCGACGAATTTGCTCCTGTGTTTTACTTGACACAGCGCCTTGCCGTTAGTCTCCTCCGCTTCATTGTTGACCTTCCTGCATAGTCCCTTGAGCCTGAAAGGGGCGGATAGTGACACTCTGACTTCGTACCTTGCGGGGATATTTTTTATCCTGTGTGAAAAATTGTGTATGTATGGCAGTACCACCTGTGGTCTTTTGTCCAAGATCTCCTTTGTTTGGCACTTTCCTGTGAGTGTGAAAATACATTTTTCTGCTACAGCTACCAGTATGGGTTCAGGATAATCGCTTGCGTGTAGTCTGCTTGTCTGCCTCTCTAAACTTTCTGAGACTTTGTGGTGACACGATTTTTGTATTGCTCGCCACATGCATCCTGAGGCAACACTCCTCTTTACTAACTTTGTGTGTCCAGAGTCATACGGCAGAATTCGTTTTTTCCTCTAGTTTTGTACATCCAGCATGTGTGTCTGTCCTCAAAAGTCATGTGGATGTCCAAGAACTGAAGGCTGCCTTTCTCAGGTAACTCAGAAGTAAATTCCAGTCCTCTATGCGCTTCTCGAAATTTCTCCATAATCTTTGAGCGTACCTTGTCTGTTAGTTTGTGTATTCGAAAACACACCAAAAAATCGTCAACATATCTAAAGCACTTGCTGACTCCATTTTCCTCGAAAAATCCCTGTAGCTCTCTATTTCCCTTTGCCATGTACAGGTCACATAGGGCTGGCGCTATGCACGACCCTATACATACGCCCTCTTTTTGAGTATAAACCTTCTCTTCGAACATGACATTTAGAGAACCTAAATATGCTCTTAAGAGACTCAGGAATTCCCTAGTGCTGATTCCGCACTGGTTTTGAAACCTCACAGATCCGTATGCGTCGATGCCCTCTTCCACCGCCTCGATTGCTCTTTCCTGTGGAATGTTGTAATACATATCTTTTACGTCCACCGAAAAGGCTGTGATGGGTTGTGTTGTTTTTAAAAATCCAACCACTTCATCGGAATTGCGGACCAGGAACGGATCGTCTACTTGGAGAAGTGATAATTGTTTCTGTATCTCTTTTGCTATAACGTGTTGCCAGGTTCCTTTGTCCTCTACTATAACCCGGAATGGGCTGCCTTCCTTATGTGTCTTTACCGTAAAGAAATGATTCAGGTAGAGATTCCTGCTGCCTTTTACCTCCTTAGCAATCTTAATGAGACCATTAGTTTCACAGAGCCGAGCCACTTGTGCTCTTGCGTTTTTTATGCTTCTGTCGGTGATTTCTTTTCTTGTCTCGAAGTTTTTTATTATGGCTTCCCTAGATTTCTTCTCATACATCTCTTGTTCTAAAATGACGAATTCTTCAGTCTTGTCAGCCATGAGTAGGCGGCAGTTGTTATTTCTGAGCCATAGTAACGTGTCATTAGTGTTTACTCCTCTTTGTCTCGGTTTTCGTAGATTGTTGGATACCTCTTTAATACCCTCAATAATGCATGCTTCTCGTTCTCCCTCTGGAGCCTTTCTTGCGACATCGCGTGCCATGCCAATCAAGTCCACTGTTTTGGCCCTCGGTTGCACCGCGTATTTCGGACCCTTCCTCAAAATCTTGGACACCTTGTCTGGAATCGTCATGTCGGTCATGTTGGTGACATTTCCTTTGTTGTCTGTCTCTCTCTTTTTCTTTCTTGGCGTACGTTGAATGCGTGCCTTTCACTGGTCCTCACCTTGGTTTTCTGCTAAATCCACGAAATATTTGTACATGATCTTGGCCTGGGACGGTGCCAAGAAAAAGTCGCAAATGTTCCTGATGTTCAGCTTGAAGAAGCGTACCTGTCTCCATGTCTCCGACCGTAGCATTTTGCAGCACCTCCTTACAGAAGAAATAGATCTACTCAATAAGATACCAAACATGTCGGAGCAAACATCAGGCCCCAGGTAAACGCTACGAAAACACACCATCCAGTTCATATATCAAAGAGGCAGCTACGGCAAACACCATCAAGTTCAGAAACCAACAAATTCAAGACATCAACCATTCGTTTTCTCAGCCGCAATATCGGAAATACGGGTCGGGGGGAGAAAAAAGAGAAAGAAATTAAACAGTTGTTAGTCTGCGCCAATTCATGCATGTTTTGTATGTCCTTCTGCTTTAACTTCATTTTCTCCAGTGTTTTTTTCCGCGTAACTACGCAGCGCAGCACACCATCAATATCAAACCAACTAGCCCAACTCCAAGCATTATTGGGAAATACCGCAGTAATTCAAGTAAGCAATTGACTCAACTAGAAAAAAAAACTTCGCAAACGAGCTGGCATGGGCGTTTCGGAAGTATACTTACCTGTCTGTTTTTATCTTGAATACTTCTGAACCCGCAACCAGGTAGTTGTGGGACTGATGCTTTATCTACGACAAAAAAGCGGAAGCTTTTCGTTAGATAAGTAGAGGTAAAAGGCAGCCCTTAAAACCATAGACCTAAACAAATCAGACTCACAACAAAGAAAAGTGACAAATTTTAATACATTATTGGTCCACGAAAGCATACTATTTCTTATTTCATTAATTAAATCTCGCTTTCTTTTACCTATATTTAACAATATATCATCGATTATGTATAGTGATGAGAGTCTAGAGTATCGTAATATAACAACTCCTTTAAAACTTTCGAAATAGCGACGAAAGAATAATAAAGCATTCATCTTTAAAAAGAAGTCCCGCTTTTTAGAGAGCCCAAAGCCGTGAAATATAATATATCCCCTATTAATGCGCAAAATATATTACCAATCATGCCCATGGCATGCACTTCAGGCTGGCGAAAAAAAAGAGCTTCAAAGAAACTTCCAGAAATACTAGGGGAAGATATGGGCAACGGTTTTTAGTTTAACTATTAGTGAAATGATTTAAAGCTTAGACAAAAGACATTAATAATAATGATTTTTAAGTTACATAACAATATTTCTTGACATGTGAGAGTAAGAATCACGAAAAATTATGCTTAACTTGAGATCTGTTCGGCTAATCTACGCAATTGAACTTTCACTTTCTGAGTCTCTCTCAGCCGTACTCTATGAAGACTTTGTCAAGGCACACCGTGAGCCAACATGAAGTGAAACGTTTTAATAATTTTTATTGTCCTGTGTTCACAAACAGCACAAACCATACAAAGGGGTGCACTGTCATAGGAATAAGGAAACACGTACAAAGCAGATACAAAAGTCAAGCAATCGATTGCTCGCCGAAAAGTGTTAATGTCATGAAAACTTCTATTACAGGTTGTTCTAGCGCGTTATATTCGAGTTTCATTCTTGTAATTGGAAAAACATGAAAAAAAACGGATTAAGAAGGGTACTGAGAGCGACCGGACTGAGAAGAGGCATGAAAGCTACAGCGCTTAAAGGGAATGACAAGTCAACAGCTGCGCCGACAATCTCACGTAAAAGGAATAAATCAGGTAAACGACGTATATTAAACAAAGAACATAATCCCAATTTCTGACGTAATCTAACAGCACTTGGCCACAAAATACCTGTTGTAGATAACTTACATAAACCGCCTTATAACCTGTTCAAAATAGGATGACGCAGTATTGTGAATATAAGTCCAAACGATACAAGGAACAAAATAGCCACACGAAACATGCAGGTGAAGAAAATCGTTTTGTTAAGCGAGATATCGCGCACAGAGTCATCGTCGAGGACTTAGAAATAGCTGATACGTAATGAATAAAGTTAAATGCTGAGTCAACGAGAATCCCAAGGTCATATATTACAGACCCTCGGGGAATCACAGTGCAGTGTAAGGTGTGAGCACAGATGAGCCACGCTTACTGCTGAGCGACAAAAAAAAAAATTGGGTTCTGTGTATGTTGATATAGCCTAGAACTTGGTTTGCCTCAATGGGCAACGAGTCTCCCAGCTGTAGATGAGAAATTTAACCAGTGCAGGAGAACCGCTACCCTGGGGTCTTTAAGGTGCATCACGGAGTAGTAATACACGAACACACGCCGGTACGATGCTCATCCAGATCAAAACGGGCATATATGTCGGGATTGAGCCCAGAATCCTGGGTTCTCCAGCGCTAGCTTTCGCTCCCCGTGCTTCGAACTGGTGTGCGATAGCCCACTCGACCATCGATCCCCCATGCTGAGCGACATTGTCTTTGTTTTCAGATTGTTCAGAACGAAATATTTACGCGAATACAACTTAAACACTACTAAAGCGTCATATTGAAGAAGAGCACAAAAGAGGCGAATACAACGCAAGAGCTTAATGCCATCATATATCAACCAGATAAATTTATATCTTAAAATTCCCGTCCGCCTACTTTTCTGGAAAGCACTCGGAGAGTCAATCGAAGAAATTCAAAAAATAACTCGACAAATAACAAGGCCAATTATATGTGTAGGGAAGTCTGCTCTGTTACACTGAGACTGAGCTGAGTGTTACACTGAGCCTGTGAATATAAAGGGTCAGGCCCAAGGTCACATAGCAGACTCCGCTTTTTGTGTTCAACATTATTTTCGACCACGTCCTTCGCAGAGCTCGCTCCATTACAGTGCTTGGCTCACCAGGTGCTCTACGGGTAAAATGACACACGGGTGCTTTTAGATTGAGGTATAACTTATCCATACATGCCGAGTTAGGATTTGCATTATCGAAGTCGAAACGATGGTATCCATATCGCGGCGGTGGTTATCGAGGACGCGACGTGGCTTCACGACATCCCCGGAACGTAATGTAGGTGTGTAGACAGACATATGGATTATGCCTAAGAGCTCAAACAAAAAGCTTGACACGAGTGTAGTGGCTACGGTGGTTGCTATGACAGCAACATTGTTATGCCACAATAGTGAAATTCGTATTTTATACATAAAGTGATCCCTACAACTCAAATAAGTGTGGGAATAAACGGCAGTGACGAGTAACGGATTCACAGAAAGGGTTTATATCACCCCGACAACCAATTTTGTATTTTCAATACGCCTTTGATGTCACTTACTTTCCCTACGTCAGAAATGCTCTCGCATTTAAAACAAGACCTGCACACAGAAGAATGGTTTGATTATTCCAGGCTTTGAGTTCAAATGAGTAACCTGCCGCTTCTTCTCCATTAGTGCCTACCTTCATACATGACAAAACGGAAGGACATTCGCTGATAATGTACACTGCTTCTGCTTAAAACGCAAGGCAGGACACCTCCCAGGTCGCTTAGCAGCAGAAACTGAAACCACATACCGTAACCCGGTAACCGTAACCGGAACGCAAACTATATTACGGAGTTTTAGGAAACCGTTTTTGCACATCCGATACGGTACGATCCCAGGTAGCACACTTGCTTGGTTTAGTTGGGCCAGGATTGGCTCTTAGTTGTGATAGCTTGGCCACGACTGCAGAGCCATTTACGTCTGTACGCCAGCCTGGCGTTTCAGAGTCGTCCCCTGCTCCAGAAAGCCAAGGAACTGCCAGGGAACGTGTCCCCTGGTTGACCAATCAATTTCCTTGGTTATTGATGGCCAGTGTAAACAGGCCGATGCCAGTATTTGATGTACCCTGGCTGTCTATTGATTTTCCTCGGTCAGAGATGGCCAAGGTAGCAATGCCTCCGCCAAGGTTTAAGGTTCCACGGTGGTTCGTAGGAGTTCAATGGTCCACTCAATACGATCAATAGCCAGTGTTCGGGCATGCTGCCAGATCGAAGATAGGGTGAGCCAAGGAATGGCAGGAAATTGCCGCTGTTCAATGTTCCTTGGCTCAAGCTCGTATTATATTGAACCCAGAATGCCCGCTGAAAGCCACTGTTACTCCATAGTTCGTCTCACTTATTTGCTTTTTTCTTTATTCGTATGAACGTCCTCTTAGCGTATTTTTGGTGCTTTGTGACACCAGCCCTCGCACTAGAAAGCGATGTTTGAGTGCAAGAAGTCTGTTTTAGATAGAGACATAAAAGATAACATGTTTTCCCTATTGAAAAAAAAAAAAACGATTTGAAAACAGTTTGGATATGAGCAGGCCAAACCGGAAATGAACTGGTTCTAGTGGAATTATACCGGACAAATTGGAAATCAAACTGTCAAAATTCGTCGAACTCGAACTTTATAAATTTCCCACTTTTTACCACGGCATTTATCCACCCTGGCTTTCACCGAGAAGCAGCTTCCAGCGCAAGTACCCGAGGCGGGGAGCCTCCCGCGTGATGCTGGAAATGCGCGGGAAAAATCCGTTACCCGCAGGTGCAATGAGCAGGTGAGTCAGACGCTTGGAATGCGCCAGTGTCCCTGCCCGCAGCGCGGATGCCTTGAAAGGGGAGAGCTGCTCACGTGCAAGGACAGGGAGCGCGCGGGCCAATCAGCACGGCCCTCGCGCCCGCTCGAAGCGCCAGTTTTGAGTCGGCGGAAGCAATAGATAGAAAAAAAAAGAAAAAAAAAAAAAAAAAAAAAACGGATTTAGCGCGCACTTGGGTGAGGTCTTTGTTCACGCAGCTGTCTGCTGTTTTGCTTGCGGAGGTTACATTTTGCCGGCGCCTTGAGTCCTGCCTCTGCCGATGGTTCCTGTGGCTGCTGACGTCCTACGCCTGAGCTGTACTCGCTCACGGGCGAAATGGCTGCATCCCAGAAAGGCGTGTTTGGAATTGGCTCCGTCCTCATTGCAGCATGGGCAATGGCTGTATCTGTCTCCGCGCCAGCGAGCCAGGTAAGCAGGCTCGACCATTTGGATCCATTTTCATAACCAGGTGCATGTGAAACTGAACCTTTCTACAACCCGATTTGGAACAGCTATGCTAGTGATACAACCGCCAGTGTACATGCAGCTTCAAAGATTCCCTACCACAGTGGTTTGGAGTTGCATAGCGGACGACAGACTGGGGAGGCAGGAAGGGGGTAACAACAGCAGGATCTTTTCATTCCTGCGTTGCTTTGCGTAAAGGCTGAACTACATGTAAGTGATTATTGGCGAATTCCACTGGGTCGTTCTAGAGCGCGCCGGGATCGACTTTTCTGGAGCGAGCCCATTTCACTGGGCGATCCAAATCGAGACGGACGTGTTCCACTGGTCGTTTTGGATTAGCTCCCGCTCCGGATCTCAATCAGGATCCGAGAAAAGTCGCTCCGACTATTAGGGCGGATTCAACCGGAAGCCAGCGCACACACTCGGCGCACACACGTGACTTCCTTTCTCTCGGGGAATCTCGCCTAGGGGTGTCGCGAGCCGGCCGCGGTTTGAGTTCGGCGAGGTTCGACTTTTTCGAACTTTTAATGGAAAGTTCTACGAACCTTCATTGAGGTTCGACTCGTGTGCGCATGCGCGACAGGCTGGCCAGTTGGCTTCGGATTGGATAATAATTGCTAAGAGATAAATTAAGTGCAGCGCTGATTAGCTATTTCAGTTAATACAGTACTAAAAATAAAGTTATTAACTTCTTCATTGACTAGAATTAGTTTCTTTTAATTGCAGGTGTTCACAATATAAAATAACCCTTTGCATAAAAAAAAAAGTCAAACCTAGACATGCTTGTATCAATGTATGACCACACTGTCCACAAAGTCGATCAGGTCGAATCTGGTGAAAAGTTCCAAGGTTCGTCGCACCGGTTCGACCCAGTCGAACCCCGGAAGTTCGACCAAAAAATCTGGTTCGACAAAAGTTCGTGGCACCCCTAATCTGGCCTGATCTCGCCCATTTCAAATGGCCGCTTGCTTACCCCTTGGCGCGACAGCCGGTTCGTTTTCCAGGAAGAAAAAGAGAAGGTTTTGCCCCGCTACGAGCATTCCGGCAATCTTTGCCAGAAGCTCCTGAGCCATTCCTGCCGCTCGTGCGACAAACACGTGTAAGCGCCGCGATTACGAAAACCTCTTCGAAACGACCACGGCGGCCACGGAAAGGGGATTCCGGGGCAGGTGAATGACGGGAGGCATCCGGCGATCCCGGAGCAGTGGTCATACCAGGATGGGGCTACCTAGCGCCATGGGGCAAAACAATCTAGGCCCAGTGAAACTTCCCCGCCTGCCCAGTCTGGCTCAAGCTTGAGCCGGTCGTAATGTGCGGCTTGGGATAGGCCCTCCTGTACGAACTGCGCATGTCGGAGTCTTCTGGGGTGGCGCTTGCGCAGAGCGTACCGGAGGGCCTATCGTACCGTGTCGGATGTGAAAAAGCGGTTCCATAAAACTTTTTATTTTCATTTGAAAGAAACCGTAACAGTAGCCGTTAGAAATTAACCGGTAATTCATATAATAAATCGGTTCGGCAAAATTTTTATAACAAATTCAAACCTGTAGGCGGATTCTTTGCTTGACAACGTAGACGAAGAAGGCGTCAGAAAGTGGAGCATCCAGTTATAAATAAGAGTAAAAGTTTAGTTTTCACTGCCATATTAATATAAAATTGTGTTCTCGACCTGCTTGTTTACAGCCTTCTCCGGAGTGTGCACTTGTGAGCTATAATACTGCAACGTTGATCTCACTTCGTCCTCCCAACTGTCAATGCTATCAACGCTATGAAATATCAAAATATATTAATCTGGATAATGTAGTGATCGCGCAGGCGAGCTGGTGGATGTTAACCATTTGTAACCATAGAGACGTGTCCTCGACTGTTCATTTTTCTTCTACTTTGAAACTTTCCTCTTTTCCTGCCTCAGTCTCGGGCTAAGAGCAAAAATTAACCTTCTTGCAGATCTGGTGGACGATGAAATGGGGCATTGGAACTCACTTTTTTTTTTTCGGTGATCCCTAGCGTTATGAAATCCATATGTTTTATTGGATACGATGTTTTAATGGTGCTACTTCTAGACTACTAATAAAAAAATAAGGAAATAATAAAAAAAAGTCCTTGAAACAACGAAAGGTTCATAGGTATGTTAAAATGCAATAACCTCCGCACAACCCGGAGTCAAACTTTTTTTTTGCTATGGAAGATGGTTTTTGCAGCGTCTTGTACTGTGTGCATTATGTTCTTCCCTAGCAAAAATAAGATAAGAAATATAGAGTACGAGAGTTTTACCAGTAAAAATATTTGAGACTCCTAACCAATCAACGGAAGCGATCACATTGTTTTTAATTTTTGTAACGTGATGCCACCACGACTCATTTCTCCTCGACGACTCATTGTGTCTATCACGGCTACCTGAAACCAATTATTATGAATAATATATTTAACCTTAAATAAAACAATCCATTGAAAAGAAAGATCATCTGAAGTTTAAGAGTAATATTATTCTGGGAACCCTGCAACATTATAACATCCATTTGTCAACATTCTTTCCGAACCGAAAAAAACTAGTGTCGCAAATACCATATACCTGTACAAAAAACGAAAGAAACTAAACTGATTTTTTACATATATTGGTAACCGTAACCTTAACCGAACAGTTTTAATTTTCGGTTTGACTCGCCGCCTGTAAGGCAGTAAACCCTGTCGGGCGTCAAGTTGAGGAGGACAGAATCTGTCCAAAACATGAGACCTATAATGATTTTTTAGAAAAGAAATTGGGGTCTAAATTCTAAAATAAAGTGGCTAAAGACACTGGGTATTCTGTGACTATCCGCGGTGTATTTTTCCTTTGTTTATATTTTGATTCTTTATTATGAACGACTCAGGTTACGGTCGATTTTTCAGTGGAACTGAGGCGTTTATATTAACGAGAGACGACGATACATATATATATATATATATATAGAGAGAGAGAGAGAAAAAATTTCTGCAGAACTAAAATATACTTACCATAACTACCGACTGATACATTCATTTCTTGTTTGTATATCTCGCTTTCTTTATTTATTTTGCACGTCATGTTTTGGCATACTCCGGAGAGAAAGATTAGAGCAGAACCTGATGTTCCAGTCTCCACCTGGAAGGAGAGATATTTAAAATTCCCGCAACATATTTCGAGAATACACATGAGCACCTAAGTTAGCTATGCCGTTAGTGGTGTAATTAAAACAATTGAGGGAAAAAGTACGCAAAATAACAATAAGTACGCATAGAAGTACGCAAAAAACAAACAAATACACTGCATAACACTTCTTTCCAATCAACTTACAACACATTTGTCTCCATCCTTTGGTTTTTTCCCGCTGCAGCCTTCTTGACAACGCTGTTTCAGGTGTATCGTTTGATCCTGTAGATTAAGAAGTACGAACTCCTGTCGAGAATGTTCTAACAAGTGGTGTTTTTATGTAATTGTACATAAACAAGCCTTACATTAAAAAAAAAAAAACAAGATTGAAATTTTAATTTTTGACTTTACTGAAACCAAGAGCGGCTTTATATAGCAGTGAAAATTGTGTATGTCAGGTACTGACAATGTATATTCGTTATTACGGCAACCAGTGCCTATCACCAAGGCAAGCCGCGCTCGCTTATCATTACGTGGACTGTACATAACAACGATAATAATAATAATAATATTATTAATAATAAATCTTTATTGTCCCTCCAAGTTTTTTGAAGGACTGGGCAAAAAGCTGCAGTTGCAGGTTGACAAGGCCCCTGCCCTTTAGCACTTGACATACAATGCAGAGATACAATTCAAATTGAATAGTCACTGAAGATTATATACAAATTGAACTCGAAAACCACCAGCAGGGGAAGTAACAATAATGCATACTTTATGGATAATTACAAAAATACACATCGGTTGCTATCAGGGACTCAAACCGTAACCGTAACCGAAACCGAAAACCGTTTAGGAACGAAATTTTTTCTGTAACCGTGACCGGAACGAAACCGTTATTTGATATTTATAAAAACCGTAACCGTAACCGGAACCGTAAATTATTCACCGGTAACCGGTTTTAACCAATATTAACCGAAAAATAAACTATTAGTTTTTCTGAAGTATGACCTGGAGGAGGGATCTTAAATTGTTGTGGCCATTTGACAGAGTTACTGTCAGCGAGTGGTGCATCTGGTTACATATTTCCATTCAATCTCACTTTAGGAATAAGAATACTCAAATTGAATTAGGGGTCGAGCTTATAATTAAAAAAATTCTATATTTCTAAATCTGCCACACTCCTACATCGCTAAATGTATTCAGTACGTGTCGCTTTCAGTGTATTAACTAATAAGTTCGAATTCTCAGATGTCCATCCAACTCGGTTCTATCAAAACCACCGATGTTCCTGACATGCAGTAGCCAGTATAAAGAAACGAGGTAAATTGGCCATCATGCAGAGCTGGCGGAAAAGAAAACCTGGGCCCGTTTGCTCGAAGCGCTAACCGCGGCTAAAGTTAGCAGCAGTACCTAGGAGAGGGAGTTTGAAATCACGTGACTGGGGGCTGGGATGCCGGGAAGCATGGCGGCGCCCCGGTGCGTGAGCGCCGCTCGCTTTGTAACTAATATGTCGTTGTAGCTGCACTATCGGGCGCGTTAGTCAGCAACGAATGGTGCAGGAGGATTTCGCTTTGCCTTACCTCGCTTAAATCGCAAAGCACGAGCAATGACTTCGCGGCATTTGTTGCATAGTGTTTCGATTCTGGCCTTTCTAAGCCTAAATGAACGCGATAATTGTCGGCATGGCAACGTCTTTGGAAAGCGGATTGCCTTGACTCAATCGACCGGATATTAATAGTACACAAAAGAAGACCAGCGTCCCGCCCCGACAGACCTTTTTCTAAATTACCCAAGCATCGAGAATAACGCTGGAAGTGTAATTCTATGGTCCGCGCTCGCTGTCCTTCCTCTTATAAAAGATTCGAAGTAAATAATCATTATAAGACTTGGACGAACGCGCGTGCAAGGCAAAATTTGTTTTAGACTTTTTCCTTTAGAACGATAGGCCCGTAGCTCACAAGTTTTGAGCAGCGCTGCAGGCGAGCAAAATAGAATATTCGGCTCGCATTTCGAACATGCATCAATACGCTTCTCCACTAGAGTTTTTTCTACTCACTTCCATTCTAAGTTCCAGCGTAGCAGAGGCTACAAGAGCGAGCTGCGAGCTTTCCGCGTCCCTGCCAAGCACGCGCGCTCGTGCAGTGCGAGCATCGTTCAGGATGACGCGCTTTTCCGAGTAGCTTCGGCTTCACTATCACGTAAAGTGAAATATACGTGCTCGCGGAAGCTGTGAAAGAAAGCAAATATGAAAAGAATGTTTAATGGAACGCTGCGGCCGCAAGCAGCATAATTCTGTTGTTTTTTTTTAACTTTTTTTAGACGTTTTGTTACCGCACATCTACAGATGCTGACAGAGGCTTGTATTCGAACGTGGCACGTGCAAAATCTAACGTTACAGCGCCACACGGATGATGCAGCCAGCAAAACTTGGTCGCGTCTTGCGTAAGTCTTCCGGACGCGCTCGCGCCCCCTGCCCAGAGCAACGGGTATATTACTACTGCATACGCCAGCACGCGCAATGCCTGCAACTACACTCGTAGCATGCACCTCGGTGCTTGGGAAATTTGTGTGCTATCAATACAAGGCCGATTGAGTCAAGGCAATCCACTTTCCAAAGACGTTTCCATGCATGCCGACAATTATCGTGTTCATTTAGGCTTAAGAATGACCAGAATCGAAATACTATCTAAAAAATGCGGCGAGGTCATTGCTCATGCTTTGCGATTTCAGTGAGGTAAGGCAAAATGAAAGCCTCCTGCACCATTAGTTACTGACTAACGCGCGCGATATTGCAGCTACAACGACATATTAGTTCCGAAGCGAGCGGCGCTCACTTTGCGGGGCACCGCCATGTTTTCCCGCATCCCTACCGATCCCTGTCACATGATCTCAGAATCCCTCTCCTAGGTACTGCGGCTAACTTTAGCCGCGGTTAGCGCTTCGAGCAAACGGGCCCTAAAGCCTCTGTATCCTGGGAAAAGTGGCGCCTTCATTGTTGTGGAAACGCGCGAGACACGTTCAGCGCGCCACTTCTGGAAAGAACATTGTGTCTGAAATCTAGCTCAGTGCTGCGCTGTGCCGCCTTGACCTTCCCAAGGGATGCACGTTGCACGTGCCTCGTGCATCGACGCACTTTGCGCTACTTTTGAAACATGACGGGGCTTTAATGGGCCCTGCTGTTCATTAATAATGTTTATGTTGTTCATTTAGTGTGAAACGTGTCGCGAGTGACGATTTTGAAACAACACAGAAAGAAAAAAAAAGTCAGGGGTTTGACATTGGCGTTTTGTATTATATATACAATATATATATATATATGCTCGGGCTGAAAGTGGTGGAAGGAGCGAGGAAACGTCAGAAGGGTGTCCGAGTTTTTTTCTTTTCCTTCCCGCGCCGAGACCCTTCTTCAAACCGAGTGGCACCCGCCGCCTAAAGCCCCCTCATGTTTCAAAAGTAGCGCAATGTTCGTCGATGCACAAGGCACGTGCAACGTGCAGCCCTTGGGAAGATCATGGCGGCACAGCGCAACACTTACCTATTTCAGATGGCATGAATTTCCCAGAAGTAGCGCGTCGCACGTGCCTCGAGCATTTAACAACAATGAACGGCGCCACTTTTCCCAGGATAGAGGGGCTTTACCGTCGCCGGCACTGCCACGCCTCTCAGCTTCTAAACATGACAAAAGAAAAAGCCAGGGAGAAGGATGCCTCCTCGTCAAACGCGCCAACGCGCCACCCTCGTCCAACAGACATGGGATGCAATTTCTGCCTCCTTCGCCTGAACCTTGGGAGCTGCCCTGCTCCCAATCGTCGATGGCCTGGCCAATCTCGCCCCACACGGCCAGCAGTCTCAACAGTCTCTCTCGCAAAACTGTGAACGCGAGCTATTTGAATGTCGGCACGGTAAGCTCGAACATCCACAGACGCGCCGAGAGATCGCTTCCAGCATCGCCGGAGGCCTCCCCCTGCCACCGCCGGAGGTATGGCTTCTACGAGAATCATTTCTACCAGAGCCACCAGCGCAATTCAACTACCTCTGATAGAGCCCCCACCACCCATGCCGGAGCGAGGGTCCGTCATGCCTACGACATTCTGAGCGACCTCGCCCAGGACACCATAAGTTTCTCCACGAGAGATGTCCATGAGATCAGGCATCTCCCCCGCCATCGGTTCTACTGGGATGACATGCTCCCCGAACACCAGCACCTCATTTTCGATAAACTGGAACTCTTCCACGTCGTCGCGAGAGGGAACTGTAGGACGGCAGTCCTATCCCAGACGTCGAGGATTTGAGTCTGAGGTTTTCAGAGAGCTCCCCGACCAGCTACCCAACCAGCCTCGACGCGGACGCCACACGCCTCGTGCTCCCGCGCACACCAGCTACCGCCCAGACACCAAGTCGAAGAGGCCCCCTAATCGTGAGTCCGGCAGCTACGCTGAGTCTTCGAAACCCACCAGTGCCATCATCGACGGCACAGTCGTCTCCTCGACGCTCCTGTGCGTTTTTCCTGTCGAGGACATTCTCGCCCATGCTCTTTGCGAGGCTGGCGTTTCGGCCGACCGTGCCCGAGCTTGATCTTGGATCGAAGAAAACGACCCAATGGATCCCGACTCGACGACCACCGCCACCGAGCGAATCCTGGAGTGGCTCAGGAGGACCGACAGTCATTGAGCCCCACCCGATGACGGCTCCTTCGACACGTACGATGGCAAGGAGGAAAACCACACCAACACAAAGGAACACACTACAGACAAACAAAGCGTCGTCGAAGACTCTCAGTCGGACCTGGGTAGCACTGCCTACAAGTCAAAAGCGACGGGACCTACACCGCCAGTCCACTCGACCCAGCAGGCACCTGAAGTCGACTGGGCAGTGTTTAGTGAGGCAAGTAGTTTTCACGGGCCGCCCGACTACGGCGGACTTTCCATTCGCTGCACGAAGGCTTCTTGCCTCACGGCCCGCCCAGCCCAGCTCTCAATTTTATTACTTCATTCCACTTAGCAGTATTTTACTAGTGGATGGCTGTAGTTCTGTTCCTTCCTTCAGTGAAGCGAAGACTCGCCTGCATGTATGAGGTTGAAATCAACTGTAGCGACGAGAAAGTGCGAATGGTTCTTCCAGCATCAAGTGGGAACTTTCTTAGGGTAATTGTTTATAAATGGTGCCCAACAACAGAGTAGCGGTGTTTATTTTAATTTTTATTATATAGAACGCGATGATCCCCGAGTACTAGAAGTAACATGTATGCTCGGGCATCAAACTAAATAATGCAAGTAGATGTAGTGAACAAGAGTTGGAGCTAGGAACGTGTGCAACTTCTGACCAATTAGAAGTATTAAGACGTTTCTAGGTTCCTTGTATTTCACGTTATTGGATATCTGAGACTACTTTAAACAGTTTTTTCTAAAATGGCTGTCTAGCATTTCAATTAGACAAATTATTGGAAAAACCGAAATAAACCGGTTTTTATGAACGTGTAACCGGTAACCGAAACCGTAAAAATTAAAACCGTAAAAAACCGAAACGAAACCGTTATCAACAGGAAGCGGTAACCGTAACCGTAACCGAAACGTTTTATTTTTCGGTTTGAGTCCCTGGTTGCTATACCAACGATTGAAATGTCGAATTCGATAATCAGTGAAGAAGCTAGACACATTTTTTTTTTTCTGAAATGAATTGTGGGTCACGTAACGAAACAACAATTATACCACTTGGTACAAAATAGATTCTTTATCGAGCAGTCTCGATAAGCAAGGAGCGCCATCTATCAAAAGGTACGCCAAACGTGCCCCGCCACAGGACATGGTCGCCTGCGTCGCCGTCCGCCATTGAACCTGGTAAATTTTTCGGCCCCTTTTTTTAGAGAAAGGGAGCTACGCTTTGCAATTTTACAAGATAAAACCGACCTGTTAAAAGCAGCTTTGAAGAAAAGATTTAGATTGGTGCGTGCAAGCGCCGATTTTTATGGCCCAACGTAGATAGAGCCTGATTATTTCAATCACCCTATATTACACTGTAGAACTTTTATCTTCTATGTAAATAAGCGCGGCACTAAAATGAAAATGAATAGGACACGCATGTAAAAAATCTCCAGTCCGCCATCCGCCGCAAACAAATAATTAGTGCAATATTTGCGTTGCGAGGCACAATTCTATTATGGTTGCGACTCTAATATTTTGGAACGTAAACTCGAAATAGGAGCACGTTTCGAAAACGGTACTACAAACGCTGAAATCCCCAAAAATAATTTCAGTGTCTGGATTGAAAAGTTAAGTTATAAAATTGCGTCAAATTTACTTATTTATATTATTTTTAGTGAGGAGCAGTCCCCTAAACCTGGTTCTATTTCGGCACGTTTTATTTGCATCCGGCAGTAAAAATGTGGCTCACTACCTAAATATCGCGCTATTATTTCCGTGGCATGATTTCCATTTACATGTGTCTAGACATTTTTGCTTTTAAATTGCAGACCACTGTATGGTGCCGCCGAACCAAACCAGGAGGAAAACTGTTCTTTTACCCCGAGTTCTTAAAAGTTTAAATGGTCCCCAGAGTAGCGCTGAGCAAAATACAGATTTCTAAAAGCTGATAATCGATTTGAAGTTTTTTTTTTTTTTTTTACAACACGCTATTTTTGATTGGAGTCTGTCAGCTGAGAAAAACGTGTCTGAAAAGCTTATCAATTGGCTAACAAATCTCTCTAACTCGTTTTCCGACAGCGGCCGCGATCGATAGAGTTATCCCATTGGAATCACTTGTTTAGTTCGGCTCCCCTTTCTGCAGATAATTTTAGTCTACTACGAAATGTACGTACATACATACCCTCTACCTTCAGCATTAAAATGATTCCTCAACTAAGGAGCGCTACGTGGAATGTAATGTGTCATCGAGATTAATCAAAACTATTATCTGGGCATAATAGCACTTGGTTTTAAATTACCATGCGTTATTTGCATTGGTGACAACCATAATACTGTTTTTGAGACATGATACTATCTACATTGTTAAAAAATTAAACATAGTCAATTCTACTTTTTATTCACAATAATTTAATGAATACTTACCCCATTTCCAAATCTGTGGCTGTCTATGCAACGAGGTCTCCCTAGTCCTGGTGGCCTCAAAAAGGGAGGTACTGCACGCAAGGAGCAGCAAACATTAGCTATATACTTTAAAGAATTACCTTGCAGTGAGACATGCATCGAACTCTTGTGCTTTCACGTTAGATCGTTCGAGTGTGCTTTGTAGTTTGTGATATAGTCCTCGACAGTTTTAGTAGCGCAGGGCATGGCTAATTATGATCGTGACTCTTGCTTCGTGATTCATTCGGCATTCTTATCGGCTGATTCGTCGATTTTATTGGTTTCAAAGGAATGACGAGATGCTCGAAATTCGCGGCTTTCCGCGTTTTTAAGCTCTCAGTCACTATGGTGGCTTCTAAGATTGTTTTTTGTCGCCCTCATGACAAACACTTTATTTTAAAATCTAAATAACGTCTGCCAAAATGTTCTAACATACGGAATATTGAAGTGATTTCTCACCCATCCGAGCGGACATTGCTGGAACAATTTCTTGCACCGCTGCGTCAAAAATAAACACGTAGTAGAATTTAGTGAAGTTTTAATATTGGAAAGGGAACAGGAAGATTAAGAACTGGTATGCACTGTCATGTCTTTCTTCTTGTTTTGCAAGGCAGTACAATATCGCATTTTGCGAATCCATGCTTTAAATCCGAATAATTGTATTGTGCAGTCACCGCCAAAATGAGAACGCCTACAAGAGCTCACAAGTGTCCCGCTTCCAGCGTGATGCCCTCCGACAAAACTTCGGCGGCTGATAAGCTTCAATCGTTCACGCGTAGCCAAACCACGACGGAAGTGAACAAGCGCGTGCTGGAAGCTGTGCATCCGAGATTCTTGCAGTTCTTTTCTTGTCTGCGACTATATCTATTAATTCAGAGAAGTGATCTATTGTTGTCGCGAGATGAGAACTCGTTATATATGTCTATATTATGCTAGAAAAAAACATCAGGCACACTGCTGAATTATTGAAATAAGTTGATGCTGATACACCAATCTGTAGAGCAGGGATTGGCAAGATACTTGCAAAAACGAATAGAAAAAAAACCACAAAATGATTTGACAAAAAACTGTCAGCTTTTCCACTCCGGTGAAGAAGGAACAACAGAGAAGCTGTACTATGGTGGGAATGAAATATTTATAAATGTAAGTATTAAGGTGTGATTGGGTAATTGGTTATTTGAACGATTTAATGATCAGACATATTTATAATGATCCAGGGTTGTTTTTTACTTAGTAACCACAGTGACTATTGCCTTGTGATCACTGTTATACACCGCCATGGGGTGTACGCTGACGGCAGGCAGGTTCTTCGTGAACACGAGGTTTATGCATGTACGATGCCTAATCGTGGGCACCGTAGGTTCGTTCACATACGCAAGCCCGAAGCGCTCGAGCATAAACGAAGTGAACCACTCAACCTCCTGGCGTGCAGTGTCAACGTTAATATCACCCATCACTACGGCAGACTTGTCGTCGCCGCGCATGATCCAGCCGAAGACGACCACCCTGAATGCTTCAATGCCTCTCTTGGGCGTCGCGGGGGTACGGACACGACGGCCACCACCGGACCATCGCGCGCCATGACGGAAAGGCTGGAAAGGTTACCGCCGCCTATGAGCGACGGCGGCAACCAGATTAGCTCTCTGGTTGGCGCCGTCACTCATAGATGGCCGTAGCTGTCGAGAGTTTTGTGTAGTTCAGTGTCGACATTTGTTTGGTACCGGAGACGAAACTGGGAAAAGTTGCCCTTAACTGCCCCGCCGTAAAAGATAAATTATATTGCATATTTAATCGTATTAAAAATATCTTCAAGAACAAACTGCAAATAAACGGATAATTATTTAATCTTACCATATGGAAGGTGGGAAAGAATTATCCGTTATCGTGGATACTGTTACAAAGACGCACGTTTTGTATTTATTATCTAATCCCTATCAAATATTTTTCAATTATATATGGCACCCATATCTTGATGCTTGCAATATAGCAATAAAACGTTTTTGGCTCAAACTAGAAAATCTTGTCCAATCTTGGGCCGGAGCTAACAGTCCATGGTGGACAAGGAATCCTTCTTGTACTTGAACTAAAAGGTGCCAAAAATACTATTTCGAAAAGATGACGGCGTCACGAGCTGCTGTTCACTCATAGGTTTGATACTACAGATACTAAGGACAAAAAAACAATGAGTGGCGCGCAGGGCCGGAGAGCTCCGGCCTGAAAAGCTTGCTCTCCGATAACCGCCTCAAAGTATATTATAAGGCAAATACTTGCAACACGAACGAAAAAGCCAGTGACTCAATTCGGCGCCTGCATTATCTATTCTAATATTTTATTTTTTTTCTCGCATATTTGTTGCGATCAAACCTGCCAAAAACTGGGCATTTGAGACACGAGTCACTCTTTAACGCCGTTTTCACACTGGCGGTTGAACCGCGTTCGCAAAGCGGTTGTGGACGCGGTTGCTTAGAGATCCAATACTATTAATTTCACGCGGGTTTGATTATGAAAAGGAGCGGATCCGCTTTGCGGTTGCGATTGCGATTCGCTAGTTTGAAAGCACCTTATCGGTGGCGGGCCAATGCGTTAACAATAAGGTGCATTCTTGCGTCCTTTGCTTAGGGGTTGTGCCAAGTGCCCAATATTCCCCTCTTTTATTATCTTTCCCGCCGCCATTTTGTTAACCTCAACACCGATCACGCTGTGCACCTAATAAAACACCAAACATACAAGGGCAAGAGAGTGAGCGGTACAAGGTGCACCTCTTGTACCTACGTAATTTTTTTGTGCTTTATTAGGTGATCATGAATTAACTGGCCCAAACTGCAGTTTTAACACACTGTGCGGCGGCTTTCATTTCCGCGGGATGGCCGACGCCAGGTAGTTCCGCTCTTCGGGGTGGGGTCATCGCGGAATTTTCTAGTTTATTTTGCTTATTAATGATCTGATGGGGCGTGCTTCACGTATTGGTGACTCTCGACGATATACGAACATTCTTATGTACTCTGAAGTTCACATTCACATAAGCTATCAATCATGTTTTGGATACCTTTCGAAAAAGGTGAGAGCACTAAAGAAAGAAGACACCCAATAAATATTCTGCTTATTTTTATACCTATATCTAAAATTATGGACTCGTTCCCTTTCATAGCCACTTGTGCACTTGTGCAGACACCAGTTGTTAACTACGGGTTCGCCTGATCGGCAGCCGGTAGTCGTTTGAGTATTACGTGTAAGAAGATAGCCGGCAAAAAAGCGGAGGTAGCCAAAGTAACGAGGTTAGCAACACTGATTTGTAAACGGTATGACTTCGTGCCAGCTTCGACGTGGATGACGATAGCACTATCGTGCGGTCACGTAATCACTAGTCAGAGCCCGTCAAAAACTACTGGTTGACAGTCGTATTGTACAGGTAAATTGCTTATCTCTAAGACCCTGGTTTCCATATCTCAAAGGCGGACATACCTCTGACTGCCTCTACATCCAGACGTCTTGGTTTGCTTGCACAAAGCAAGGCCGCTTCAAATTGTTGTTAGTTACAGTTGAATTCGAAATACAAACTTATAGATTTACAATCAACAAATGCATTCAGCAAAGTGTAGTTAAATGTACAATACGGAAATACTGAGAGCAATTTAAATACACATTTTAAATACTTGCATTTTAAATACTGCTCGACCCTGGTACAAAAAAAAGGTAACGAGTTCAGAAACCTACTAAATTACTACCTCTTTCAAATAGGTAGTCGTGTAATGATATGAATGCATGAGATATTACATTAATAGTTGTGAACTTAATCAAAAACTAACTCAACGTATATTGTCGTTTGCTCCGGGCTACCTTCGGCTATTGTCTGACTGTATAGGAACAAACACAATTTATTTATATCATACCATGGGAATAATATACCGTCGAAATATGTCGAGACCGTAAGCTCTAAGTAATATTTAAAGGTATTTTATTTTTATTTAGTGAATTAGAATATAAACATGCTCAAAAGAGGAGAGCTTATTCAATCAATAAATTTGATGCTTTCCAATTTCACTTCGATCATCATGTCAGTAATCAAAAAATGCACACTCCATTTTCATTACTGACATTAATATGAAACTGAAATACAAGATCAGACGTTAAACTGCGAGCTGAAATGACCTTAAACTAAAATATATCAGTGCGATGTCTTGTTAAAACCGACTACCTGTTAAAAAAGGAAATGTTACGATGCAATTACGCAGGATTTAATGTCCATACATTTTTTCTACTGCTTAACTGTTTGCCATTAACCTTTCTACTAACTTTCGCGATACTGGAGGGCGTTTACATTGTGAAAGAGATAAATGTTCAATCGTCACCTTACTTCATTTATTTATAACAGTGGCGGAAAATTAGAATAACACAAAATAGCATCGGGTGCCTGGCGAGATAACGTATGATACAGTTCAACGCCACTTCCCTTATTAACATACAACGATGCGGTCGTAAAAGAAATTACTCGAATGCATTTTTTTCTAACACAAAGGAAGAAAAAGGAATGCTTCCTTCACATATTCGGTTCTTGCAGTCCTGATTGAGATGCATATTAGGTGGCGTGGGTTTCCAGCTATGCGTAAACCGCGTGACAGAGTTCCCTTAGTACAAAAATAAGCTTCACCCGAAATTATGTTAGTAAAAAATCAGGAGGGGGCTAGCCGAATTGCCGTGCGGTGTGATTTATTGGGTAAGGTGAAGATATATTCCATATAGTGATGAAGACTCATAAAACTAACGCCGCCTCGTGTTCTAGTGTCGCATGTCAGTTCCCTGTGAGTATGAATCGTTTTGGGTACTTTCCAGAAAATTAAAACTTTTTTTTTTAATTAGAAGTACTATAATAAATCCGAATATTCTATTGACCTAAAAAAAGATCTATAGGACACATATTTGGGATTCGAAAACAGCAGTGACTGATTGGATGAAAAAGTAGCTTATCACGATTTACACTGTCAAAGAGCAATTACATACTTCCCTAAAATTAGCATGGTTTAATTATTTTTCAGTGGTAGCGGCTACGGGCTGGTATGTTTAGTTATATATAATTTTAGTGTATATTTAGAACATCAACTTATTGAATTATCTACCTCGCAACTATTCCACACATCTCATTAAAAGCAATAGATTAGAGAAAGTAAAGTGTTTTGTTGGAGACTGCCCGTTATGTTAAACCAGATGGTGGTTAGCATAAGAGCATGCTCACCGAAATAGCGGTGTTCACATATATGCTCGCGAAGAGAAAACCGCATGACATAAAGAATGCAATATTACCAACGAGGGTCGCCAAGACTAACTGCAGACTCTGGAGTTTCAAAGCCATTTGGTTAAAGTGCACTTTAGAGTTTGTGCAAAGTAACTACTTTGAAGTAGAACCGACTTCAGACACAGTCTCATTGCAGTTAATATATACTCCCCGACATGGGCCGTATTTCTCACGTGACGTTCATTGTATTCATTGTATGAGCTTGGCGCACCCTACGAAGCAATTCTAAATACGCCATTGTGAAGGCTGGAGAAATTGCGTATTGCGCCACACACACAAAAACAAAAAAAAAAAAAAGATGCTCTTCAAAAGTGCCGTTTTCTTTCGTTTTTTTTTTTTTTTTTTTGTGCCACTTTTATTATTTTGGGAAGTGCCGATCTTTGCGAAAACGCTCAAATCCTCATATGCCAGGCTGTGTTCCGATCAAACCGCCAATAAAGGAAAGTAGAAACACCGCTTAAGAAGTAAAATGGGATATATTAAAACAAATAATTTGAGACAAAAACATACACATTTTCAAGTCTACCTCCACAATCTTTTTGTGCTGCTGCTGCTCAATTCCCTCGTCTCTTTGTTAGGTCCTTTCAATTGCCTTTACCCACTTCGGGATACCACCGAAAACGGGAATGGTGATTCGGCCGCTATATTAGGGACGCCACCAAGTAAGCTGACGGTGTGCTGCGGTTGCCTCGCATCAGGTTACTGCCACACGCGTTGTTGTTGGTTCAAACATCGGCCAAGATCTCGCTCACTGGGAAAGAGAGAAAGAAGGCTTGAGAAAGAAAAAAATACTAACGCGTATGTCATAGCCAGAGGCCAAACGGTCATCATTGGTTGGGGGGAGGGGACGACGGGATAACAACTAATGGACGAAAAAAATATGGAAGTGAAGAGGCGTGGTTATTCGGCGAAGCCAAGATCGCGGCAGCGGATGGAGCCGGAACCTCGAGCGACTGAAGGAAGGCGGTAGAAACCGATGAAGAAGGCGTAGTGGGAACCTCTTGGTTGTTGAATCCAGCGTTGAGAAGCAGGCGGCACATGCGGTATGCGAGTTGTTCAAGTAGTGCCACCACGTACACCAGCACAAAGTATCATTTTATTCCGAGCCAGAGTGCAATGTCGAAATCTCTGGTGGAGTTGGGAGGGGGAGGATTGCAGGAATTGATTTTCTTGCGGACATAAAATGGATTCTGTTAACTCAGTAGGGGCGGTCGACCTTAGGCTCTCGCTCACTCTGGCCGGGAGCGCTTCTGGGACGTCGCCGAAACTATGTATGGACCAGTCTGACCAAGGGTGTCGAGCCGTAACTGAAACTGAGCCGACACCGGAACTCAACCGTGACCGGAACTGAGACGCTTATTTTGCGGCGCCATTTTGGAGCTGAATTTGAACCGGAGCAAAACAAAAGAACCTTCCGAACCGGTCGCCAATCGGGTGCGCATTCGCGCTACTCTTCCCTGCGCTGTGCGCCGGAAATTTGGAGAGGCTTAGCACTGCGGAGCAAGGTGTTTCCACTAACGTAAATATATTTGCAAGCATTTGCACGCATATCTTACAAAGACGAAAGCTAATAACTGCTCTTACTGACTGTCACAAAGTCGGCCTGACCCGCTCAAAGTCACCGTTCGCCGACAAGGCTCTGTTATACTCCGACGTAACGCGTGCGCGCGTGCGAGCGCGTCACAGCGACGTCACGTCGGCGAAAACTCGACGCTCTATACTCCGGCGTCGTGGCGTAACCGACGCGACCGGCGGCGTTCGACGCAGCTTGACCGCCTCGACGCCAAAATGGAGCATACCGTATTCCGCGCCGGCCGCGCCGGCGACGCCGGAGCAGGATGCATCACGCGCTGGCACCCGGTAGCCCTCGCGGCGAATACGAGTCATAGCAGACGACGGGAGCACCACTCCGTGCGGCGTCATGTTTGAAGAATCGGACGTCTCGGGTCGTCGAGAATTCGTCCTCACCCGTGTGTCTACGACACGAGGAAGCTTGAGTACCGTAGACCGTGCGCTTGTCAAAGATGTACCGCATGTACATTGACCGCCTACGCTTGCGGGGCAGGCGGTGCACCAACAGTGCAAGCGCGAGTTTTCGTCGTGCAAGGTACATACGTCCACGCCATCGCTCGAACTTGGCGCTCAAGAAGCGCGAGAATTCTCGTCTGCTATTCGAAACGAAAAGGAACCGGAAATGGCGCTCTCTCGCAGGAAACGTGCCCTCGTAGTCAGATTCTGCGCCTGCGCCGCGCCGGCGGCCCACCGACGCGCGCCGTGGGGACCGCCAAAACCGCCGGAGTATAAAGTGGGCGAATTTTTTACGCACGCGGCGTGACTGACATGACGTAGCCGACTTCGGCCAGCGTTCGCTTGCGCGCGCGTTACGTCGGAGTATAACAGAGCCTTTATACTCCGACGTAACGCGTGCGCGCGTGCGAGCGCGTCATAGCGACGTCACGTCGGCGAAACCCCGACGCTCTACACTCCGGCGTCATGGCGTAACCGGCGCGACCGGCGGCGTTCAACGCAGCCTGACCACCTCGACGCCAAACTGGAGCATGCCGTATTCCGCGCCGGCCGCGCCAGCGACGCCGGGCCAGGATGCATCACGCGCTGGCTCCCGGCAGCCCTCGCGCGGGAAGCGCGGCGGATACGAGCAATAGCAGACGACAGGAGCACCACACCGTGTGGCGTCATGTTTGAAGAATCGGACTCGGTCGGTCGAGAAGCTGATCGAGGGAATTCGTCCTCACCCGCGTGTTTACGACACGAGGAAGCTTGAGTACCGTAGACCGTGCGCTTGTCAAAGATGTACCGTATGTACTTTGACCGCCTACGCTTGCGGCGCAGGTGGTGCACCAACAGTGCAAGCACGAGTTTTCGTCGTGCAAGGTACGTCCACGCCATCTCTCGAACTTGACGCTCAAGAAGCGCGAGAATTTTTGTCTGCTATTCGAAACGAAAAGGAACCGGAAGTGGCACACCCTCGCAGGAAACGTGCCCTCGTAGTCAGATTCTGCGCATGCGCCGCGCCGGCGGCCCACCGACGCGCGCCGACGGCGCCGCCAGGGCCGCCGGAGTATAAAGAAGCCGAATTTTTGATGCGCGCGGCGTGACCGACGTGACGTAGCCGACTTCGGCCAGCGTTCGCTTGCGCGCGAGTTACGCCGGAGTATAACAGAGCCTTTACCCCCCCCCCCCCCCCCTTTCCTGGTTAACGCAGCTTCGCGGCGACAGTGTGCGGCGGCTCATTGCTAAAATATTAACGCACCTGGTCCACTCGCACACCCCGCTTCGCGGCGGCAGAAGTCGCTAAAAGGAAGTTCAATCGCCTTTCCCCTAAACTGATCTTCTCTGTGAGGTGATTCGATAAACTGGGTTCCAAAAACGGCGTTTGCTAAAACGAACCTCTCTAAACCGCATGGCTCCAATCAAATTCATACACCTCCGGCGCGCGCCCGCCGGCGGGGAAAGACCTGGAAAATTCGACGGGACTCCCCACGTGGCACTCCTGCGAGAGACGGAATGCCGCGTGGCGCCGGCACTCCCGCGAGACGCCGGTCAGCATAAGCGAGAAAAGAGCTACACAGAGCGGAGACCCGACCATCCAACCCCGACCGTGCCGCCGTGACTGCCAGATGAAGACGGAGAACGTTCTAGGGTTCTTGCGTTCTCACATGAAAAACCCCCGGCCTTTCACGGGTGTTCGCATGCCTTCCGCGTGCCTCGTCTCCACTTTGGCGAGAAATCAGACTTGGGAAGTAATCCGTTACAAGTTACGGATTACTTGTAATCCGTTACTTTTTCAAGCAATTTTGTAATTGCCACGTTAATTTTTTCTAAAGTAATTTTTAATGTAATTTCGTTGCAAAATATTGGTAACGGATCACTATAATTACTCTTTACTTTTTTTAAGATATAAGCATAATAAGAACTGGAGCGATCTGAGCAGAACATTCAGCAGCATAGAGAGCAAGTTTAATTAAATAGAAAACATGAGGAATGGGAGAATAGCCGAATAGAAAACACGATTGTTTGCAAAGCCGGTCACTAGAACAACAAGAAAACGGGCAAGGCATGTACAAATATACGAAAGACAAAGATCCAGCAAGACAACGCCGAATAGGCTCTCCTTCGCCTTCCATCGTGTTTTTTTTTTTTTTTTTTCTCTCCCGGGCTGGGGAAAGCTTTTTGTGTTTAGTTGATTTTGTCTTTTACACCGTTTCAACCTTCTCAACTTCTTCGACGTCTCCCGCGACCTGCACAGACATCAAACGTGGGTCTGCACCCCCTCGATTCGCGGGTTCACAACTTGCGTAACACGATGTAGCTTCTCACGGGGGGGTCAAATTAGCTTTGTCTTTGATGTGCGCTACCGTATTCTAGCATGCTCTTGATGCACGGTTGAAAAGCGCCCGGCGCGAGTCTAAGAGCATCATCTTCGAGGGTACGGATGATACTTCTTTTGGTTTACTTGGCTGGGCATGGTGGTCGAGTCCACTCCCCATTGTACGGTCAACTGTCAACATAAAGGGAGGGGCGGGGTCGAACCATCTAAGGAGTGTTGACAGAGAGAGAGAGAGAAAGAGAACGCGTAAAAGTGGTGTGATTTTCTATTGTTTTGCGATACCGATAACCACCGCTTCTCTCGTTCTCTATGCCCTCCCCTCCCCTGGCCTCCACGAATATTGGTATGAAAGTGAGAACCGATGAACGATCCATAACCCGTAACGGCCACTTTTTCTCTGACTGGTCGAGTTTGCGCTCATGGAGTGTCCGTGGTTTCCATGGCCATCTCTTCATGCGATGTTCAAAATTCAGGTCATTAAGGAGGGCTAAAACCTAACCTAACCTAACCTAACCTAACCTAACTCAACAACGTACCCTACTGAAAAAAATAACTATTTGTGCTAAATCGTATGCTCCGAAAATTTTCTCCTTTATGATTTCATTCAGTGATCCTCACGGAATTACATAGCGAGAAGGCAAATAATAAACTAAGCTCCAATGAAACAAACTGCGGCAAATAACATAAAGTATACGCACCTTCGTAGAAA